ATTGGAACTTTGAACGCACAAAGCCTAAGCTGATACTCCAGTGCAGCGCTGGGGGGAGCACTGCAATGTTAGAGGTGCCATCCTTAACATAAGACGTTAAATCAAAGCTGCGACTCATTTAAAAAGCAGGTTGCAGCTACATTGAGAAGTTAATTTGCGTCTGCCTGTTCAAATGGATGTTAAAGATCCTGTGTCACTGCTCGAAAAGAGAAGGGAAATTCTCCTGCTGTCCTGGATGATCATCCTCAAGATAAAAAATTGGTCGTTCACTTCAAGACTGTTTGTGGGACATTGCTGTGTGCAAATTTGCTGCCGCGCTTGCCTACAAAATACAGAATCAGCACACTTTACAGTAAATCCTGTGAAACGATTGGAGACATCCTCCTGACATAAAAAGCGCTATATCAAATGCAAGGATTGTTATTTATCTTATGATAAAATCTTCATTAGTTAAAAAAAATAATAATAATCCTTGCATTTGATATAGCGCTTTAGCACATTGTAGTATATTTTATGTAGCTCTTTGAGACTTCTCAAATAAACTGTTATATTAAATGCAAGGATTATTTTTATGGATTATTTACAGAATACCTTTTTTTGGGAAGGAACAATTACCCCCAGAAAGTCATCTGCTAATAGACCAACAACTGGGTTCCTATTTACTAAATTACCAATTCAATGGCACAACACACCACACAATATAATAATCTAAGGATGCAGCCTTGGTAAGAAAGGGCTGGTTGAAACTGAAGCTGGGATTTGCTCTGAGGATATTGTTAATAGTCAGTGCTGCTTTACTGCACAGGTGACCTTTAAAACACTCAATTTCCTTTGCAGTATGCATTTCATCAATACTGCGCTCCCCGTCTGACACACTATAATTATTTCAAGGCTGATATTACATGGGCCATTGCATACATCCCATGCCCATGCCTTGTTTTCCTATTTATTCTTCCTTTATGTGAATAATATATTTTCAGAATAAATGACAAACAACAAAAGAAAGCCATCCACAGTCTGAACATGTTCAGCCTAGCAGACTCGCAAGTCAAGTACAATTTTATAAGTAAATATTATATTTTATAAATATGCAATTTTATATATTTTTTCATATTTCAATAAATTGCCAACTCCCCCATCCCCCAAAAATGGAAACCAAAGGAAAATAAAATATCTCTGGAATACAACAAACCTCTCTTCCCTTCTTCAAGGCCCGCCTCAAGACCTTCCTCTTCGACCACGCCTTCGGTCACTCTCCTTCCCCCACTCCACATTGTCCTCGATCCCTCCTAATCTCACCCTCCAGCTCAGATGCAAATCCCTGAATGTCCAGTGCCTTTGGAGGTCTTCCTGAAATGAAAGGCACTGTACAAATGGAATTTGTTGTTGCTGTTGTTGTTGAATACAATATTGTATAACACATAATCTCCCATGACTCAGGTGGTAAAGCTGTTCTGGAGAGTGATACCGAGCCATATGGAGAGCAACTCTGTGATAAAGCAGTGTTTTGGGTTCATAATATTAAGCAACAACACCAAACAACAACAAATTATATTTGCATAGCACCTTTCACATCAGGAGGACGTAACCCAAGGTGCTGGACAGTCAGGAATCTGCACCCGAACTGATGGTTGTGTTCAGGAGGGGTGGAGGGTGAGGAGGATAGAAGTAGGAGGGTGACCGAAGGCACGGTCGAAGAGGAGGGTTTTGAGATGGGTTTTGAAGGAGCCAAGGGAGGGGGCGAAGCGGAGGAACTGTGGAATGGAGTTCCAGAGGGTGGGGGCAGAGAGGCTTAAAACCCATCTGCCAATAGTGGGTGGGCAAGGTGGGGGACGTGAAACAGGCTAAAGCCCTCTGAGCGGAAGGAGCAGACAGGTTGGTAGGGGGTTAGGAGGTCAGAGGTAGGGAGGTGCAAGTCATGGAGGGCTTTGAAAGTGAGGGCCAGGATCTTGAAATCTATCCTCTGAGGGATGGGGAGCCAGTGGAGCCGGGCAAGGATGAGGTGATAGGGTCACGGAGCCTGGCGTGGGAGAGAACACGGCTTGCAGAGTTTTGGATGATCTGTGGAGGGAGGAGTTGGGGAGGCCGACATCATGGGTCTGTGAAACATTGGCCACCAGTCGTCATTGTAAAGTCAAACCTCATTTTACTTTCAGTGTCTTCAGCTTCAGGTGCAGACAAACCAACTTCCTGTGCAGACAAATACGCTTCCTACATGGACAGACAGCTTCCCCTGCAGAGAGGCCAACTATCTGTGTGGACAGGCCAACTTCCTCCTCAAACAGGTCAACTTCATAGATCATCATAGAATTATACAGCACAGAAGGAGGCCATTCAGCCCATTGTGTCTTTGAAAAGAGCTATTCAAATCAATCCCACTCCCCCACTCTCTCCCATAGCCCTGCAAACTTGTCCTCCCCAAATAATTATCTACTTCTCTCTTAAAAGTTGTTATCAAATAGGTTTCCACCACCCTTTCAGGCAATACATTCCAGATCCAAACAACTCGCTGTGTGAAAACATTTCTCCGCGCCTCCCCTCTGTTTCTTTTAACAACTATTTTAAATCAGTGTCCTCGGGTTACTGACCCACCCGCCAGTGGAAATAGTTTCTCCTTGTTCACCCTATCGAATCCCCTCATAATTTGAAAACTTCTATTAAGTCTCCTCTTAACCTTCTCTGCTCCAAGGAGAATAATCCTAACTTCTCTAACCTCTCCTGATAACTGAAATCCCTCATTCCTGGTACCATCCTGGTAAATCTCCTTTGCACCCTCTCCAATGCCTTGACATTCCTCCTAAAGTGTGGGGCCCAGAACTGAACACATACTCTCGCTGAGGCCCAACCAGTGTTTTATAAAGGTTCCTGACTTTTGTATTCTCTGCCCCTATTTATAAAGCCAAGTATCCCATATGCTTTTTTAACAGCTTTATCTCCCTGTCCTGCCACCTTCAAAGATTTACTGATATGAACCCCCAGGTCTCTCTGTTCCTTCACCCCCTTTAAGATTGTACCATCAGCTTATATTGCCTCTCCTCATTCTTCCTCCCAAAATACCATCACTTCACATTTCTCAGCATTAAACTTCATCTGCCACGTGTCTGCCCATCTTACCAGTCTGTCTATGTCCATTTGCAGTTTGCTACTATCCTCCTCACTGTTTATTATTTTTTCCTAGCTTAGTATCATCTGCAAACTTGGAAGCTGTACTCCCTATACCCAAGTCTAGGTCGTTTATATAGATCGAAAACAGCAGTGGTCCCAATACTGATCCCTGGGGGTCACCACTGCACACTTCCCTCCAGTCAGAAAAACAACTGTTCACCATCACTCTCTGCTTTCTGTCTCCCAGCCAGTTCTGTATCCCCCGGCTCGGCCTTGGGCTCCACCATTGTTAAGTGCTTTGAGACGCCGCCCAACGTGGAGGGCGCTATATAAATGCAAGTTGTTGTTGTTATCCATGCTGCCACGGTCTTTTTAATAACGTGTGGAGATAATAATATCTGTGGAGTCCTGTGGCTCAGTGGTTAGAGCACTCGCTTTGCAAGCGAGAGACCTGAGTTCAATTCCAGGCAGGTCAGGGCGAAACCTTGGGCAAGTTTCCTTACTCCACACAGAGCCTAATAATAATCCCTCCAAAACCAAAAACAATAATAAATTGGTCATTTTCAATCTACGACTGTTTGTGGGACATTGCTGTGCGCAATTGGCTGCCGCGTTCGCCCACAAATATACAGTCAATTCACTTTACAGTGTGTTCTGTGAAGCGCTTTGGGACGTCCTCCCGACGTGAAAAGCGCTATATCAAATGCAAGGATTATTATTAACGTGGGCTTCTATTTTGCTTACAAGTCTCTTATGTGGCACTTTATCAAACGCCTTTTGAAAATCCATACAAGCTACATCAACTGCACTTCCTGCCAGATAAGCCAACTTCCTCCTCAAACAGGCCAACTTCCTGCGCAGAGAAACTGCCATATTTGCCGTCAAAATAAACAATCACTATACTTTGCAGTAAATTCTTAGACACTCTATCAAATGCAAGAATTATTATCTGCATAGTAGCCACAAAGGATCATATCCAAACAGAGAGAAAGGATAGCATCTCTCTGTACACATGTCTGCTGCATCAATAGCATTGCAGCCCCCAGGCACTTTGCCAATGCCAGGATTAGACTCCCTTGTGAGTTTTGTCACTGTGTTCCCTGGTGTGAACAAGGTTGCGACTGAAGAACTGTGCATGGAATACTGTCACTTCCCTGACAACTATGTAAATCTATCTATGTAACTATATATGGACTAAACCCCTGGGGTTTGTGACGATTTCATTATGAGGGAGACAAATAAAGAGAGAGAGAGTTGGTTGACTTGATGTCATTTACGTTCGCGCACAGACACACTCTCTCTTCAGTACACTATTTCAGTACAGATTGTTATTTCATAGAATCATGAAATTTTACCGCATAGAAGGAGGTCATTCGGTCCATCATGCCTGTGCCGCTTCTTTGAAAGAGCAACCATTTAGTCCCGCTCCCCCACTCTTACCCCATAGCCCTACAAATATTTCCTTTCTAAGTACATATCCATTTGCCTTTGAGAGCTGCTATCGAATCTGCTTTCCACCACCCTTCCAGGTAGTCATTACAGATCATAACAACTCTCTGGGCAACATTTTTTTTTCCTAGTCTCCCCTTTGGTTCTTTTGGCAATTCTCTTAAATCTGGGTCTTCTGGTTACCAACCCATCTGCCAGAGGAAACCGTTTCTCCTTATTTACCATTTAACGAACATTTAGTTGAATTTGCTTGAGAACTTATTAGGGAATGGTGTTTCCTTGGCTCACTGAGGTAATCCTAGTTAATGGAAAGATCTCGCTCATCAACATGAATCAGATTCCTTGTTACAAAAATAGCACATTCGTTCTTAACATCCAAGCCTGAATCTGTCATTTGGTGCACTTTCCAAAGGCGAGTAGCAAACTCATCTGCTACATTCCCTTACCTGGTGAAATCAGTCATTTCCATCATGATCATGCACATCTGCTTGGCCAGGACAATTATATCATTGCCGCTGTCGTCCCACTTTGCTACCTCGGCGTCCAGCTTGTTCTTCTCTTGGTGGAAGCTCTCCACCTGCTCTGCGATCTTCGCTTTCTCCTCCTGTGGCAGCTGGGCCATGATGGCCTGCCGAGGACAAGAGATGAAGAACTTCAACCTTTGTAACTCAGCCATCGAATCTTCAACCTTTCCCAACCATTCTCCCCCATTAACAATGAACAGATGTTGAACCTTGATGCTATTTCAAAGAAACGTGGAGTCTTTCTTCTGGTTTCGATTCCCACTTCATCTATATTCATCCCCAAATTCAAATGAATTAGCCTCTCATCACAAGGTTTGTTTGGATGAAGAAGGCCCTTTGGTCCATTTAATAATAACAATAATAATTCTTGCATTTGATATAGTGCCTTATCATAGCATTGAGATGTCTCAAAGCACTTCACAGAATACACAATAACATGAATTGACTGCATTTTTGTGTGGGCAAAACGGGGCAGCCAATTGCACACAGCAATGTCCCATGAACAGTTGTGGGTTTGTGAACAATTTTTTTTGTTGGCCTGTCCAGAGGAGGTTGGCCTGTCCAAGCGGGTGGTTGACCTATTGTCTTGGCGGTTCCTAAAGTACCACTCCGATAATCACCTCCCTCTCCTCCCCTACTTGGCGTCTAACTCACCAGTGTACAGCATACAGAGACGTTATCTTGTGTGAAGGTCTCTATTGTTGTGCGGAGTCAATTATGAGTGGACCACTGGGTGTGATACAATGGGAGGCTGTCAAACTGCAGCTATAAATTCCACCTGATCCTACAGCTGATCATGCAAAGTTTTAGAATGACAGACATTGGGTCTAAAATATAATACTGAATTCCAAGCCAGGAAAGTGTGTGAAAAAGAGGGTTGTTTTCGACCAAGATCAATTTGGATTCAGGATTTGCTGTTCATCAATATCACAGTGCATTTTGCAAATCAGTCAGAATTAAGACAACAATTTACATTTATACAGTGCCTTTCATGTCTGGAGGTCATCTCAAATCATTTCACGCTGCTGACTGGGAGCCTGGGCTGGGCGGGGAATGAGGCAGGACTGAGAAATGGGATGAGAGGAAGGTGACAATGCATGGTCAAAAAGCTCGGTCTTAGGATGTGCTTTGAAAGGGAAGGGAGTTGGAGGGATTCCCGCATGGAGTTCCAGAGAGTGGGTCAGAAAGGCTGAAAGCTCACCCACTAACAATGGGGTGGATCAGGCTGGGGACTTGAAGTAGGTCCATTCTCTCTTCTTCGCAAAAAAACTCAGTTTAACGTCTCATCCAAAGAATACCTCCAATAACGCAACTCAACCCCAGCACTGCATTGGAGTGTCATCTTAGACTATGTGAGTTCAAGTCTGACATTGGGTTTGAACCCACAGTGGTAGCACTCTTAGAGGTGCGAGCGCTCCCACTGAGCCAGGCTGATGCTAAAATGTGAGATTTACAACCTGGATTTATCTTGATTTGATTTCTCTTGTTCTCACTATCCAGAACTCTGTAGCCCGTGCCTTCTATAATAATAATAATAATCCTTGCATTTGATATAGCACTCTTCACGTCTTCTAGATGTCCCAAAGTGCTTCACAGAATATACTGTAAAGTGAATTGACTATATTTGTGGGCGAACGCGGCAGCCAATTATGCACAGCAATGTCCCACAAATGTAGATTGAAAATGACCAATTTATTATTGTTTTTTGTTTTGGAGGGATTATTATTAACATACACTATTCTCCCAGGTTCTGCAACCCGTGTGACCTCCTGCAACCCTATAACCCAGGGAATTCAATATCCCAACCACACTCTGTGTAAAGACAGTTTTACAGTTTTTTTAAAAAATCTTTTCCTTTTGTTATGTGAGGGAAAAAGGAATAGAGAGGAAACAGGGAGATTGTGTGGAATATAAAATATGGACTAATTGGGCCAACGGGCCTTCTTCAATGCTGTAAAGTTCCAATTCATTCTATATGATTATCTTAAATCTGTGCCCTGTTAATAGTGTCTTGTCTCTTTGCTCAGCTGTTTTTATTCGGGTGGACGTTGAAGATCCCATTGCACTATTTGAAAAGAGAAGGGAGTTTCTCCTGGTGTCCTAGCCAACAATCCCCCAAATAAAATTGGCCATTCTTTCATGGCTGTTTGTGGGACACTGCTGTGTGACACTGGGCTGCCTCATTCGCCTACAAATACAGTCACTTCATTTCATAAAAAAATTCTGAAGTGTATTGAGATGTCCTCCCGACACCAAATGCAAATACCAAATGCAAGGATTTTTAATGATTAGTTTTAAACCATGTGTGATTTTATCCCTTTTGGAAGTGTATTTGTTTGATTGAAGCACAACACAGCTGGAGGCCCTGCAGAAACACAGAATCCTAGAATATTATAGTCCATAAACCGACTTTTCAGCCCATCAAGTCTGTACTCCTGTTTTTCTCCACATGAGTCTCCTCATCTAATCCTTCTCTCTTTCTCGATCCACATACCTTTTAATATTCCTCCTCTTCAAGCATGTATCTAATTCCCTTTCAAAATAATTCATGGGCTCTGTTTTGACAATGCTTTGTGGCACAGAATTTCACTTCCCAAACATCCTCTGTGTGAAGACAGTTTTTTTTAACCTCTCCCTTCAATTGCTTTTGTTACGTGAGGGAAAAGGGAACAGAGGGATAATAATAATAATCCTTCCATTTGATATAGCGCCTTATCACTTCATGGAGATGTCTCAAAGTGCTTCACAGAATATACTGCAAAGTATTCTGTGTATTTTGTAGGCAAAACGTGGCAGCCAATTGTACGTAGCAGTGTCCCACAAACAGCCATGGAGTGAGTGACCAAATTATATTTTTGAAGGGATTATTATCCCAAGGAAGCGATCCGCCAATTGACTAACAACCGGGTTCCTACTTACCGCTAGGTAAGCAAAGACATGTGGAGTAAGGAAAGTTTCCTAAGGTTTCACCCTGCCCGGGAATCAAGCCTGAGTCTTTTCACTTGTGAGGCGAGTGCTCTATCTATTACATTAGAAGACTCCACAATACTCTACAGGACTCCTATCAGGATAATAGGACAACAACAACAACAAAATTACATTTGTATAGCACCTTTCATATCGGGAGGACGTCCTAAGGTGCTGGCCAGACAGAGTTTCAGATCTGAGCTGGTGGCCGGGATCGGGGAAGGTGGAGGGCGGGCAGAAGCAGGGAGATCAAAAGCATTGTCAAAGAGGAGGGTCTTGAGGTCGGTCTTGAAATAGGCAAGGGAGGAGGCGAGGCGGAGAGATTGTGGGATGGATCCCGTAGAGCCGAGGGAGCGGGCAGGATGGTAGGGGATTAAGAGGTCACAAAGATAGAGGGGAACAAGACCATGGAGGGCTTTGAAGGTGAGGACCGGGATCTTGAACTGTATCCTGAGAAATAGGGAGTTGTGCGGAGTTGTGCTGGTATGGGCTAATTGGGCCAAAGGACCTGCTTCAATGCTGTAAAGTTCTAAATGATTCTATATGATTGTGTTAAATGTGTGCCCTACTATTAGCATCTTGTCGACTGGGGAAATAACCAATTGCTTTCGAATACCCCATCACAATCTCCAAAATTCTACCAAATCATTCCTTAATCTTCTCAGCTCTTGTAAAATAAGCCCCGTCTTATCTTGGCAATTTTATCTATCTTATCCTGAAACTTTTGCAGGAGTTGAAGATAGTAATAATCCTTGCATTCGATAAAATGCCTAATCACATTGTCAAGGCATCTCAAAGCATTTCAGGAATTATTATAAGGTGGAATGATGGCTTTTTTCAGAGGTTAAGGTTTCACAACATTTGCAAGATCCCAAGCGATTCCCTCTGCTTCATACAGTTCACATATCTAGTACTCAACTGGTTTGGGAGCAACTGGTGGGGTCGATTTATGCTTTTTGAGTCTCTTTGTGTGCTATATCCCACTTCACAGATTGAGGGGGTGATTTAGCTTTTGTAATGTAGCAAGGAGCTGATTCTCTTATCATACCCATGGGAAAAAGCAGACCGTCCTCCCTGTGTTAGCTCTGTAGTGTAGTGACTGCCCTGGTGGCAGCATACCATAAAAGTTATAGCCAAATAAAAGTGAGAAGTTGTGGTGTGCAGTCTGCTGTGTGGTGCCGGTGCTTGACACACTCATCAATAACCTGGCCGTTCACTCCATGTTCAATTGAACTCTGTCCTTGCAGTTAACCTTGTCAAAATCACAGCTGCCAAAAGTCTGATTTCCAGTCCTTCAAAGAGACGTTTTGTTTGTGCCTGTGGCTTTTGAAGTGGGAAACAAAATGTTGTATTGTATCAACTGAAGGTAAGTCAAGCCTGGATTGCGGCTTTACTCTGTGATTTTTTTTAGCAAAAAGCTGCGGTAAGCCTTACTCAAGTGATCTTAAGTTGAAAGACAAAAATGTGACTTCATGGAGCACCATAATAATAGTCTTAATTTTATAGTATATTCTGTGAAGCACTTTCAGATGTCGCAACAACGTGATAAAGTGCTATATCAAATGCAAGGATTATTATTATCAGCCTTGAGAACGCTGCTGTGGTGGGGGGGCTGCTGTAATGTCTATTTGATGCTTCAGCAATTGTGTCAACTTGGCTCCGTGGATAACACTCTTGACTCTGTGTCAGAAGGTTGTGGGTTCAAGCCCCACGTCAGGACTCAGAGTTGACTCCAATGCAGTATTGAGGAGAGTTGTGCTGTCCTTCTTCTGAGATGTTAAACTGAGGTCCTGTCTGCCTGCACAAGTCGATGTTCAAGATCCCATTGTGCTATTCTACCAATAATCCCTCCAGATAAAAGTTGATTCATGGCATTTCCCATTTGTGGGACTTTGTTGTGTGTCCATTGGCTGCTGCATTTGCCTTCAAATAATCACTTAGACCTTACAGTAAATCCTGTGAAGTGCTTTGAGATATTTTGATGAGATGATAAGTCTTTATAATAATACTTATATTTTCAAATACTGTATATCAAATGCAAGGATTATTCTTTGTTTAGCCATCATTTTGAAGCAGACTTTTCTTCACAGAAACAGCTTGAAAACTGCATAATTGAAGAGGGAATTTAAGAATATCTAAAATTCAGCTCAATGTTAAATTAAAAAAAAGATCTTAAATCCCAAATTGCACCTTCTATCCCTGCTTTCAAATCCCTTTTAAAAACACATATCTTTGCTTTTGATCAAATACCCTTCAATTCCACAATGTTCAGTGCTCCCTATGGTCTCTGTGAAATGTTATGCGATTAGATGGTGAAGTGTTGTGAGATTAGATGATGCAGTCCTTGCAGTGCATCAGTTTGAGCACTCGCCTCGCAAACGAGAGGACTGGGTTAAATTCGTAAGCAAGTTAACTGACTCCAACCACCTTGGTTTACTGAGTAGTAAGTAGGAACCTGGTCAAAGTCAATTAGCGGATCGCTTTCTGGGGGTGATAATCCCTCCAAAAATAAATGTAGTCCCACAACTGTTTGTGGGACACTTCTGCGTTCAATTGACTGCCTCGTTTCACTCACAAAATGCAGTCAATACACTTTACAATATATTTTGTAAGCTCTTTGAGACATTACAATGACATGATAAGGCAATGTATCAAATGCAAGGATTATTATTGGTATCATGTTCATCCTATGTGAAAGGCACTATATAAATGTTGTTGTCGTTGTATCAGAGCCTGAGGCGTGTGGGTCTGACTGACGTACCCGAGCACTTTGTCCTGCAATCAGCTGGTCGTCTTCAGTCTGGACACTCGTTCGGCTGCGCACATCGTAGTCTTCCTGCTCAAAATCAGAGTCGTCCTCCAGCTCTTCAGGAGTCTGCAAAACACAGAGAAAAGTCAGCAAGCCTTTCAAGCTTTGCGAAAAATCACAGTACAGAGTGACCCATCCCTGTGTTACTTCAGATCCCCAAAAAACAGGTTTGTGAGAAAAATAGCCTGCTTCTAGGTCAGGTCACTGCCAGGACACCAGAGATAATAATGCTCCATCTCTACCATATATTCTCGCACTGAATTATGAGATAGATCCTTCAACTGTCAAACAAAAAACAAACTGCCCTGTACAGTTTTTCAAATTAATAATGATAATAATCCTTGCATTTTCTTAAATTTCAAATTAAGACTGCATTGGAAGGCCATTCACCAAAATTCAGACCACTTTAAATTGTATGACAATAGTCTTCAGTCAAAGAAAATCAGAAATTTAGGGCCTGAGGAGTTTCACTTGCGAAAGGATACCACTATCATTGCATTGTATTGCTGTATGCAATTGAATGCTGCGTTTCTCCCCCAAAATATACAGTTAATTCACTTTACAGTTTATTTTGTGACTTTGGGCAGTCTTAACAACATGATAAGGTGCTGTATCAAATGCAAGGATTATTATCATTACTATTGAGCACTGATTGTGCAGATGGACAGAAACATAACATTTGACAAGGAGACCACAGTGTTACCATATGTGTTTCATCTCTATAATAATAAATAAAAATACTTGCATTTGATATAACGCTTTTCACGTCTTCTAGACGTTTCAAAGCGCTTCACAGAGGTGTGTTGAGTAAGGAAACTTGTCCAACATTTCACCCTGCTGGGAATCAAACCCAGGTCTCTCGCTTGCAGGACTCCACAAGAACTCTCAAAGGACTCCATCTCTCTGAGAATTATCAACTTAGACTCAATTCTTCACTCTGCTTTAGTTTTCCTTTGCTTTAATATTTGTCTAATTCCCTTTTTAAAAGCTGCTTATGGATTCTACTTATAATAAATAATAATAATCCTTGCATTTGATATCGGCTTTTCATGTCTTCTAGACATCTCAAAGCACTTCACAGAATATACTGTAAAGTGAATTGACTGTATATTTGTGGGCAAAACACAGCAGCCAATTGTGCACAGCAGTGTCCCATAAACAGTCATGGATTGAGTAACCAAGTTATATATTTTTATTTTTATTTTATTTGTTGAGGGATTATTATCAGGCATGTGGACTAAGGAAACTTGCCCAAGGATTTGCCCTACTGGGAATCAAACCCAGGTCTCTCGCTTGTGAGGAGAGTCTGACCACAGACTCCGAAACACTTCAAGCACATTGTCGAATTGCATGTCTTTTCCCTTCCATTTCACTGAATTGCAGTCCCGGGTATAATACGAGCAAGATGTTAAATAATAAGACAGATGCAAACATAAGTTCTTGTATTGTAAGAACTGTCCTTTCATTATCACAATGAATGAAATACTGTCCACTCAGCACTTTTCACACACTCGTGGTTTCCCGCAAAGACCTTACTTTAATCTAATAAAAGTGTCGGCTTTACATTGCATAAAAAAACATAAAAAGTAACAAAGTATGAAATGAGCAAAGGGTAGGCAGCCTATCGAGATGTTCACTCCAACACATTACGGGCAATTTAGCTTGCCACAGTCACTCCAAAATGTGCCCGTAAAACTCCTGAGGCACATGAGTAACTGTGGAGAAAATCTCGGAAGAGACAAAATGCTGACATGTCTCCATGACCCTCGAGAAGCAACTTAAGAAGAATACTAAGAGGGATTACCAGTCCTCCCCTATGCACAATTGTGTGTCAGCCTGGCTCAGTCAGTAGCATTCTTGCCTCTGAGTCAGAAGGTTACATGTTCAAGCCCCACATCAGGACTTGGAACCCAAATAGTCTACGCTGACACTCCAATCAGTGTTGGGAGTGTGTTGCATTGTTGGAGGTGCCTTCCATCAGATGCGAAAGGGGATAAAACAAGGCAGCCAATTGCGCATAGCAATGTCACACCATAATCCTTGCATTTGGTACAAGGTCTTTCACACTAGGAGGACATAGCAAAGCGCTTCACATGACTTATTGTGAAGTAGAGATTTAGTGTGATTGTGTATTTGTAGGTGAACGAACGCGGCAGCCCAATTGCGCACAGGTGACTGGATTCCCGACCGCCAAACAAGACGATTTATTTCAATTAAGAAATGCGTTTTTGTGCTGCAAATGTTTTGGGCATTGCTGAGACGTGACAATGTTAAATTTTACAACTTGCTTGTGATCTCACATAAGGTCGACAAAGACCCACTGCTCATTAATGTACACTACCTGGGGCACCTTGGGCAGTTTCTACAGCTGTGACTTCTGTATTTAGGCTTTATAATAATTAAATAGGACAGCATATATTGCAGTATGGTGGGTCTTCATCTTTCTTCAGCAGCGCTGAGATCAGAGCAAATCCCTGGCCATCACACGTCACTTTTATCTTGCAAATTTTTTTGAGAAGAATTAATAACAGGCTCAATTTGAATAGAGGTTCCATGTTGGGCTCCAGTAAATCTGTCTCCACCAGGGGCTTGCTAATTCTGATTCAGTGAGCACCCCTTCCAGGGAGTCCTGCAGAGGTCAGTTTAATTATAGAAGTTGTGGCCCAACTTATTTCACAATAGAAATTCTAACTTAAAGGGATGGCTGAAATTGCAGAATGTGATAAGTCCAGAAAATGGAGTAGTTTTTGTGTACTTTTCAACTCAACTCTTTAAGACCATTCTCCAGGTAGAGGAGGGGCTAGTTAATATGGAGAGGTATCGGGGTGTTTTTGGAGCTGAACTGGCTCCAAGGTAACTCGAATGGCAATGGAATATCGGAATTGAGTCACCCTCTGTGATCATTTGTTAAGCGCTCTGGGTATGCTACCCGGCATGAAGGTCGCTATGTAAATGCAAGTTGCTGTTGTTGTGGTCTTGGTAGTCCGGTTTCTGAGCCAGGCGGGTTCGCAGTACTTCAGCACAGCCAGCCTAGCTCATCGTCAGGACTTCGAGGGGCAGAGATTGAAGAGACAGACCAGTTAATGAGAGCAGGAATTCTTCAACAACAACAACAACTAGGATTTATACAGTGCCCTTCAAGCCGGACGGTGTTTCACAATAAACGGATCCCGGGGCCAAGCCAGGGGGAGGGGGAGGAAGGTGACTAAAAGTGCAGTCGAAAAGAAAGGTCTTTAGCCAAGACCTGAAAATAGGAAGAGAGGGGGTGAGGTGAAGGGAGTGAGGAAGGCAGTTCCAGAGCCTCGGGGTAGAGTGGCTGAAGGCACGGTCGCCGATGGTGGAGCGGAGGATTCGGGGCACAAGGAGGAGGCCAGACCCGGGGGAGCGAAGGCAAAGGGCACTGTTGTGAGGAGAGAGGAGGTCAGAGAGGTAGAGGGGTGCAGAGGAATGGAGGGATTTGAAGACAAGAGTGAGGATCTTGAAATCGATCCTCTATGGGACAGGCAGCCAGTGCAGTCTGGCAAGGACTGGGGTAATCGTTGGATGCGTCGGAAGTGGAAGAAAACGGTGCTGGTGAGGGATCGGATGTGTGGGAGGAAGGATAATTGGGGGTTGAACCTGACGCCTAGGTTGCGTACGGGTTCGGAGAGTTGTAGAGGGAGTTCGGGTATGTGGAGGAGGTGAGAACCGTGCGATTTAAGATGTTGACGAGAGCCAAAGTGTATGGCTTCCATCTTTTCAACATTTAGTTGAAGTTTTCAGCACCTTGGGACGTCCTCCCGACGTGAAAGGCACTATACAAATGTAATCTTGTTGTTGTTGTTGTTGTTGAAGGAAATTCACGCTCATCTAGCTCCTGATGTCTGACAGGCAGACTGACAGAACATCAGGCATCTGGGGTTTGCAAAGTGAGATGGAAAAATGGAGTTGGGTGTCGTCCTCATACATGTGGAAGTGTACCTCATGTCTGCGGATGACATCCCCAAGAGGGAGCATATAGATTAGAAAGAGGAAGGGGCCAAGGATGTATCCTTGGGGTACCCCGCAGGTAACCAGGTGAGAGCGGGAGGAAAAGCCGTTTGTGGAGATGTACTGCTGGCGGTTCGGGAGATAGGACTCGAACCAGGCAAGTGCGGTTCCACTGAGGTGGAATATGGAGGAAAGGCGGTGGAGGAGGATGGCATGATTGACTGTGTCTAAAGCGGTGGAGAGGTCTAGAAGGACAAGATGGCAGAGGGAACCCTGGTCACAGATAGCGAGGATGTCGTTTGAGACTTTCACAAGTAGAGTGGGCAGGGCGAAAGCCGGACTGGAGGGGTTCGAAGAGGGAGTAGGAGGAGAGGTGTGCGCGGAGTTGATTGGCAACAATGTGTTCTAGGACCTTGGCAAGGAAGGGCAAGTTTGAAATAGGGCGGTAGTGGTTGGGGTTTGAGGGATCTAGGGAGAGTGTTTTCAGAAGGGGGCTGATGACAGCAGCTTTGAGGGGGGCAGGGACTGCTCCAGAGGAGAGGAACTGCTTGATGACATCAGCCAGTAGTGGGCAGAGGAGGGGGAGCTGGGTGACCAGCAAGTTAATGGGGAGGGGGTCGAGGCAGCAGGTGGTGGGTTTCATCAAAATGATGGTGAGTGAGAGGGAGGAAGGAGAGATGGGGAGGAAGGAATGTAGGACGGGGGTCGTGGTAGGACCTGATGACGGCTGAAATCGCCCATTATAAGCAGGTATTCGGAGAGGGACAGGGAAGAGAGGAGAGTAGAGATGTCAGAGAGGAACAAGCCAGGGGGCTTAGGCGGACGGTAGACCAGCAGGATTTTCAGTGGGAGAGAGGGATGGAAGAGGGTGAGGTGCTCAAAAGAGGGAAACCAGCCATAGGAATAGGGGGAAAGACCAAGGGAAGCTTTGGAGATGAGGGCCACCCCACCGCCACATTGGTTTGGACAGGGGTTGCGGTGGAAGGAGTAGCCTGGAGGGCAGGCTTCAACTAGGTGGACGGGGTCATTGGGGGAGAGCCAGGTGTCTGTGGGCCCAAGAATGTCAAGGTGCTCATCCAGGATGAGGTCATGGATGG